ACTGAGCCTGGGGGTGCTGGGACTGAGGGTACTGGGCCTGAGGGTGCTGCGACTGAGAGTACTGAGCCTGCGAGTGCTGAGACCGAGAGTCCTGCCTCTGGGGGTGCTGCGAGTTCGGGTGCTGACTCTGGGGGTGCTGCGAGTCCTTCTGGTGTTGGTGTCGTCGGAGCTCCTACCGGAGGACCTGGAGCTACTGGTGCTGGAGGTGCTGGAGGTGCTGCTGGTGCTGGAGGTCCTGGAGATACTGCTCGAGTTGGAGGTCCTGGAGGTGCTGGAGGTACTGGAGGTGCTGCTGGTGCTGGAGGTCGGGGAGCTGCTGGTGCTGCTGGCCCTGGTGGAGCTGCTGGTGCTGGAGGTACTGGAGCTGCTGGTGCTGGAGGCGCTGGAGCTGCTGGGGCTGGAGGTGCTGGAGGTGCTGGAGGTCCTGGTGGAGCTACTGGTGCTCTTCGCCACCTTCTCAGTCTTCAGCCAGGTGCTACTGGCTTCCCTGTGGCAGGTACTACTCCTCCGTTGCTGTGTCCACCGGCGGACCAGTCACAGCCGCCGCTGCTACCACACTCCCCACTGCCTGCTCCTGCTCCTTACACTGCGGTGTCAGAGTCCCTGACTGAGCGTCGAGAGCCTGAGACTCGTGCTTCCACCCCTGAGCATCGAGAGCCTGAGTCTAGCTTTGACCTTGAGCCTGAGCCTAGAGCTGCTGTCCGTGCTCGTGTTCCTCGTGTTCGTCGTCAGCGTGCTCCGGCTGTCCCCGGCACTCACGATATGACACTCCGTCCTTCCTCTGTTCCTCAGCGTGTTGTCCTACCGTTACCTCCTGCGTCTTCTCTGCCTGACGTTGCTGACCCTCCGTCTGACCTTGCTCGTGCGTCCAGTCCGACTGTTACTCGCCTTCTTGCTACGGTTGTGACGGACCCTACGTTCTCGTCTCCTGCTGCGTCTGCCCTAGTAGCTGAGCTCGTTGACTTTGCTGCTGTGTACCGCCTAGACTACCTTGCGAGTCTTGTCTTTGACCCTGTCCTTGCCTGTCCTCCGTCCGTTGGGGGTGAGCATGCTCTTGGCTTTACAGCCCTTGGTTGTGATGTTCTTGAGGACAGACAGGAGAAGCTGGAGTGCCTTGCTGCCGCTTCACCCCATCACGCGACCATGTTGCTTGCCTCTGAGGGAGACCCGGATGCACTTGACATCCCCACCCCGCGCTCCTATAGGGAGGCGATTTCGGGTGAGTACTCCTCTCAGTGGCAGACAGCCATGAACGCAGAGATGGCTTCTTGGAAGTCCACAGGCACCTACGTCGACGAGGTTCCCCCACCTGGGGCGAACATCGTCAGTGGCATGTGGATTTTCAGGGTGAAGCGGCCGCCGGGTTCTCCGCCTGCCTTCAAGGCACATTACGTTGCTCGAGGCTTCAGTCAGCGTGAGGGGGTCGACTTCTTCCAGACCTTCTCCCCCACCCCGAAGATGACCACTCTTCGGGTGTTGCTACACGTTGCAGCTCAGCGTGACTACGAGCTGCACTCCCTCGACTTCTCGACAGCTTTCTTACAGGGTAGCCTTCACGAGGCCATCTAGTTGCCCCGTCCACAAGGCTTCACTGGGTCGTTTCCTGAGGGTACCCAGTGGAGCCTACGGCGACCAGTGTACGGCCTGCGTCAGGCGCCCCGCGAGTGGCACGACACACTGAGGACGACTCTTGCGGCTCTTGGGTTTGCTCCTTCGACTGCTGACCCGTCGCTGTTTCTACGCACCGACACTTCTCTGCCGCCGTTCTACATCCTCGTGTACATTGACGACTTGGTTTTTGCTACTGCTGACACTGAGGCACTGGCCCTAGTGAAGGCGGAGCCGTAGGAGAGACACACCTGCACTGACCTGGGTGAGCTGCGGAGCAATCTTGGCTTGCAGATCACCCAGGACAGAGCACGGCGCACCATCACCCTGACTCAGTCACACATGGTGCACCAGGTCCTTCAGCGCTTCCGCTTCACGTACTCCTCGCCACAGCCCACTCCTCTGGTTACCGGCCATTCGCTCTCAGCTCCACCTTCGGACGAGTCCGTAGAGCCGAGTGGTCCGTACCCAGAGCTTGTGGGCTGCCTCATGTACCTGATGACGTGCACACGACCTGACCTCGCGTACCCTCTCAGCCTTCTGGCTCGCTACGTGGCACCCGGTAGACACCGAAAGGTGCACTTTGATGCTGCGAAGAGGGTACTGCGTTACTTGTGCAGCACATCGGGCATGGGGCTCGTGCTTGGAGGACGGGGTTCGGTGGTCCTCACAGAACACTCTGACGCTTCTTGGGCCGACCACCAGGCGACTCAGCGTTCGTCACAGGGTTACACCTGCAGTATTGGCTCTGATTCTGTCTCGTGGAGGTCCACTCGTTCTTCTTCTGTGCTTGGTTCCAGCTGTGAGGCTGAGATCTACGCTGGGGCCATAGGTGCACAGGAGCTCCGCTGGCTGACCTACCTGCTAACCGACTTGGGGGAGCGGCCTCGTTCTCCTCCGGTTCTGTACGTCGACAACAAGGCAATGCTTGCCTTGTGTCTCGAGCAGAGACTGGAGCACAGAACGAAGCACATTGCTCTGCGCTACTTCCTTGCGCGTGAGCTGCAGCAGCGTGGTCAGCTGCGCCTTGCTTTCGTGGCCTCTCGGGCCAACACTGCTGATGTCTTCACCAAGGCCCTTGGGGCTGGTGATCATCAGCGTTTCTGCACTGCTCTTGGGCTTGTGCCCACTCTGCCTCACCTGCTGGTTGCTTGACTTGCTCTTGTTGTACACTGCTATATATCTTTATACCTGCATGTTTACTCTTGCTAGGTTGTGATCTGTGTACTGCCTTGCTATTATAAATCTGCATGTGAACTGGCCTTGTGGCCGCCTGCTTGTGCTCAGATTGTGTGGTGTCCTTGAGATCCACCCTGGGCTTTGCCTTGCTTGTTCTCTTGCTTGACTGGTCTTGTGACCACTGTTAGGTTTGGCTATCCCCCACTTCACCTATGGGGGTGTGTCAGAACATATTATTATGTTCAATTCACTCTAGGTTGTGTAGGGTTCTTTCCTTAGAGGGTACAACATTTCTCTCTCGATAGTCTTGTATCCCTCTCCCTTACCTAATCGACATTCCTCACCTAGCTAGTGATTCTAACAATAAGACAGTGTTGAATAGAAGACAGGGGGTGTCTATTATCCGGGTGTCTCTTATAAACGGGGTAGCCTCATTATAAGACACGTATTTGTGTGTACGAGTTGAGCCAGTGTAGGGGTTAGGGTAGGGGCAATTGTATGACGAGGGGGTATCTTCTAAACGGTTCTTTGTCCATTTATAAGACTTATACCCTAAAACACCTAAACCATCCCAAATACAAGACAACCCAAGCATTTTTGCCAGTGTACGAGAAAAGACATATATGTCTTATATCCGGGCAATGACGGTAGTTCTATGCAGCTTGGTGAAACCCCTAGTTCCTGAAAACCAGAGGACTAGCCTCTTCTTGCACGAACTACCCATAAAACAGGATTGAGGAATGAAATAAAAGTAGCTTTGACCAAGTGTTTTGATTTGTGAACAACATACCACGAGAAATGCAACATTTTGGTTCAGAAGTTGGGGCACAGGGTTTGGCTCGAGTACAGAAGAAATGCGAGGGGGCCTCGGAGGACAGTTGGGGTTGTATTCAATATAGAGAGAATGGAAATTTCTTACATGAACACTTTCCTAGGTGAATGCACTGTGACTAGTGGTAAAGAGGATGAATTCCTAAAAGGAAACCTAGATTCACAGCAGGGCTCTCATTACAAGGCCATTGGTCAGTTTGCCATGAGAATCCCGAATATTTTGGTCTCACCCCAGATCAGAGATTGCCCGCTTTCTGTACGGACTGGGTTTGATCTGTACCCGGATTCGTAACTGACGGGTTTGGCGCTGCCCAGCCTCGTACCGTAAGTGTGGTCAATCCACAGCCTTGTTTCTAGGTCGACTGCGAAATAAAACCCTGCAGGTGCTGCGAACGTCGGCAGGGAGAAATACTGTATAACTTTCAACGCCCCAGTTTGCTTTGAAAACGAAGGAGCTCGGTCCGTACAGACGACAACAGGCAACAGATTCCACCCCCTGCGACGGACCGTCGCACGCCGTGGAACTGTGGTACCCAATGCGAATGCGAGGCCCCTCTCCACCAATAGCATGCCATGCGACATGCCATGCCACCCGATAAGGCATCAGCCCTGAACCCCACGTGATTTTGTGGTGTGTGTTTTAGGGGACTCCCCCTGAATCGCGGATCACCTCACCCATGGGGTTTCGTTGTCTTCCGTCCCCACCAGCTGTTAGTCGCGGCTGGGATGACCTGTCCGTTGAGATACATGCACGGATGGTTTTGGCGTAGCTCAACTGTATTGAACACTCGTTACGAGGCGTCGATCAGACACAATAACGAAAGCCGGCTGACTCGGGCTGTCAAGAGTTTGGTTGCCAGTGGCCACAAGTCGATTTCTGAGACAGTGACGTTTCACTGCCAGAACCGTGCCCTCAGTCGATCGACGTCGTATCGCCCCGTGACAGAGTGCTGCGATGTGGCAGAGCCACAGTACAGAGTCTGCTCACAGCCAGCGCCATGGTCTTTCTCAGTGGAACCTGCCACCACTTCAATAGCCTCACACTCGCGCACCCGCGAAAGTCTCTACGGTGGGACCCGCCGGCGCTGCCGCGATGGCGCTTCCAGCAGCAGAGGCACGTTGTAGTAACAGACCGTACGTCCCACAGCTGCTGACACCTGAATCGCCAGCCGGCTCAGCACAAACAGTACTTCTATTACGACTACTATTAGTAGTCCTGGTGGTGGTGGGCGGGGCTTGTGTCTTCCTGAACTTCGGCCCAGTTCAGAAGTTCCACTCTTGCTCCTGTGGCGATTCCACCCAGTTCTGTAGCCTTTGAAGGGCTGTGCCGGCTATCCATCCCTAAACTTCACGTTTCACTTCGAGAATCGCAGCGCCATATTATGGGCATGAAGCGCCTATCAGTCGCCGCTTTTCTCCTCGTCGCCCTGGCGGTAGCGGCGCGCGTGCCGTCGGCGAGCGGGGCCGGGTGGGTGGAGCTCGACCTCACGCAGACAGGCGCGGCCGGAGACGCGGCGCTCGCGCAGAGAGCGGCGGGAATCGCGGTGGAGAAGTACAACGCGCAGACGGTGAGTCGCTCGTATTGATTACTCCCTGTTTTCACTTGCGAAGCTTTTGAAAGCCGATGCGGAATCGTGGCAGGGTCGCGGCTCGGGCAATTGTTGAAGAGTATATCGCGTTTCTCTTCCAGGCGAAGCTCTAAATTGACGCAGTTTCCCCTTCAGAGAGCCTCTGTACAGGCCGTTTCCATTTCTAAGGCGAAGCTCTAAAGTTGACGCAGAATTTCCCCTTCAGAGGTTTCGCCTCTGTACAGGCCGCGTCCCCCACGCGATTGAAGGACCACTCGGTGTATTATCCGCACGTCACAGCGTTGTTTCCCCGACCGCAACGCTGCATAGCTCTCCCAGTTCCACGCAGGGTGCGAGGCGATCTCTAGTAGTGGGCGAATTGTGGGCGACGCGGCGATGAACGCAGTAACCTCTCCTCTTGATCGCCGCCTCGCCCACAATTCGCCGCCGCCAGCGCGTGTGATGCCGTCAGAACGCCCCCTCTTACCAATCGGTTGAACCAATCACAACGACTGGATGCACTTGGCGACACCATGATGCCCGCCGTGCTCACCATGCCATGACCCGCGGTACTGCTGCGTGCTCCAGCCCCAACTTGAAGCACCACCGTGGTGCGATGGGATGGGTCCTACTAAGACCAGGTCGCAGCGTGGTGCGCCCTTTTTGTTTGGAGGTTGATTGAGGATTCTCAGAATCCACCTCCTGCGTTGCTATCATGCTGCACGACAGCTAGTACTACGGAGCATGACTTTTTGAGTCGACTCAAAAGTCTTCTCAGAATCCACCTCCTGCGTCGCTATCATGCTCCACGACAGCTACCGTAGGTGACGGAGCATACAGCGTCTGCAAATGGCTGTTGCGGAAGAGAAATCGTGCCCAGGGTTTGTTCTTTGTATGTGAATCAGTACTAGGTTATTTCCAATGCGGGAGATACTTGCAACGACCGTCCCTGCTGCGTGCAGGTTCATCCCCGCTATAGAGTCGATCTGGCCCATGTGTGTGCATCCCCTCTCCATCCCCCTCCCTCACCCCCTCTCTCTCCAAAAATCCACCCTCTCCCTCGCGGTGGTTCAGTCAGCGGAGGTGTGCTCGTCGACGAGGGGCAAAGGGCCGTCATCCGCGTTACCTTAACCGCGTGCGAGCAGGAGAGCACGTTGAGGAGGCTGCTGAGAAGGCAGGAGGGCGCACTGCGGAGCCTGCTGCACTGCGGAGCCTCTTGCACAGCCAAGCGCCCATCCACGGACCCCTCCCTCCCTTTCCCTCCCGTCTCTTTTTCCTCGTTTGCTGCTGAAATCTGCACTCCCCCTCACGGCGGTTCAATCCGCGGAGGTCTTTGTGCCCGCTGACATGGGGCTGAGGGTGGCCTTCATGATCGCCAGTGAGCAGGAGGGCGCCCTGCGGAGACTGCTGCAATCACTTTTGAGAATTCTCGAAAGGAGGGCGCACTGCGGAGGCTGCTGCGTGGCCAGGTACCCGTCCACTAGTAACTCTCCTCCCCTCCCGCCCTTCTTCTTCCCTCGTTCTCTGCAGAATTCCGCCTTGGCCCTCGCGGCAGTTCAATCCGCGGAGGTATTTGTGCCCGCCGACGCGGGGCGGAAGGCCGTGATCCGCGTGGCGTTCACCGCCAGCGAGCAGGAGGGCGCGCTGCGGAGACTGCTGCGCGGTCCTGGCAGCACAGTTGCGGTGAAGGCTGAGATTGCGGGAACCTCGCACGAACTGCACCATTATAAGCTGGAGCGATTCAGTACTACATCTGGTTGAAGTGCACCAGCCAGCAGACGTTTAATCACTCTAAATTCTATAATTTTCCGTGTTGACGCGGTGACTGGTTCGTCCAAGACACACCCTAGTTGGGTTGAGAAGGGATCAGTCAGAAGCGGGCTTGGGCGCTGAGATGTTGTGTATATCTACCAGTATACTAAATGGACAGTACAGTGACTCGCCCGATTTGTCTGACTGGTTGATGACAAATTGGCACATGAAGAGCTGCTCTGCTTTGTGGTGCTGTTGCTTGAAGTCCCATTCCCCCACCCAACCCCCTAATTGCATGGGGTGTTCGGGGAAATAAGGAGAGTTCAGCTGCTTGGGACACAGCAAGAGCCATCCTACCGTATGTGGTTTTGCATAGCATGCATGCTAGCACCACGCCATCCTATGTGGTTTTGCATACCGTAGCATGCATACTAGCACCACACCACGCCATCCATCAGTGCATGGGGTTTTGAATCAGAGCCTGTATCTCATCAGCACGAGTACAGCATTACTGTAGCTGCCAGCCTGGCATGATAAAATCAGCTGCTCAAGTTATTATCCTTTTCTAGAGCCAGCTTGGCATGATAAAATGAACCCTCAAGAAAAGCCAGAACAACCTCTCTTCCTCAAACGCACCGCCACGCATGCCGCCTGGCAGGGCACCACCTGACAGGGCACCTGACAGGACACCTGGCAGGGCACCTGACAGGGCACCTGGCAGGGCACCTGACAGGGCACCTGGCAGGGCACCTGACAGGGCACCTGGTATGCCACCTGACATCCTCATCGCTCTCCACCACTCTCTTCCTCAAACGCCCCACCCTGCAAACCACCTCCCATGCCACCTGGCATGGCACTGACATGCCACACCCCATCCCCTCTACTCATCCTCATCGCTCTCCACCACTCTCTTCCTCCGCCACGCTGCCGCCTTCTTGCTCTCCCCCCTCTCCTCCATCCAATCCTATTTCGGAGGTGCCTAAACAACCCTGCATACCAACAAACATACCACCCGGCATAGCATCCGGCACAGCATCCCCCATCCCCTCTACTCATCCTCATCGCTCTCCACCACTCTCTTCCTCCGCCACGCCGCCGCCTTCTTGCTCTCCCCCCTCTCCTCCGCCCAATCCTCCTCATCCCCCCCTTGCTCCTCCGCCCCTCCCCGCCCCCTATCCCCCCCTCTCCGCCCGTACCCCTCATCATCAGACTCCTCCACTCTCCTGCCCCGCCCCCCCCGGCCCTCATCATACCCCCCTCGCCCCCTCTCCCCTTGAGAGTCCTCCTCATCGCTGTACCGCCCTCCTCTGCCTGAGGCCTTTGCAACCTTGGCAGGGCGATGGTCGTGCGAGGGGGAGCGCTGGTGGGGGAGGGGGAGGACGCAGGCGGGATGAAAGAGGTGGGAGGAGTGCGGAAGAGTAAAGAGGGGGAGCGCTGGTGGGGGACGCAGGATGAAAGAGGGGGTGGGGGGTGGGGAAAGTAGGGGCAATGAGGACTTGGAAGGTAGTGGTGGCAATGAGGACTTGAAAAGGGCTGTACCGCCCTTCTCTGCCTGAGTCGTGTTTTGAGTCGACTCAAAACACGGCTGTACCGCCCTTCTCTGCCTGAGGCCTTTGCAGCCTTGGCGGGGCGATGGTCGTGCGAGGGGGAGCGCTGGTGGAGGGGGGCAGGATGAAAGAGGGGGTGGGCTCAAAAGTCGCGTGTGGAAAACACACGCACTCCAAAGGCCGCAAAAGGTACAGATTGCAGGGGGGAGAGGAGGGGTCGGGTAGCAGGGAGGAGTAAAGGGGTTGGGCAGGAGGGCGAGCGGGAGAGAGAGAGAGATGGGGGAGTGAGATAGAGACAATGTGACGAGGGGACAATGAGGTGAGAATAAAAGAAAGGTTGACCCAATCACTCACCCTCTTCCCTTGCCGCCGATCGTATCTGTCCTCCTCTTCCTCCTCTTCCTCCTCATATTCGTCCGCTTCCTCCTCTTCCTCCTCGCTTTCGTATTCGTTCCGCCGCCCGCCCCCTCCCCTCCCTCGATCCCGTCCATATCCATAGCCCTCCTCCTCCCTCTGTTGTCGCACATGCCATGCAATGCGGCATCAGGCATGCCGTGTCACATCGTATAACATCATTGACATACCATATGATCTCATGCCCCCACCAGACACGAATCCATGCCACCACAACAGCATGGAGCACACACCACCATGCAGCACACAGCAGCATGCATGCAGCACAGGCCAACCGCAAGAGATAAATGCATCTGAGAAGAAGGCAAGAGCTGGTGGTGCCGCTGCAAGGGGACGGATCATCGTAGCACACACACAACGGAGGAGGGTGCGCGAGTGTGCGTGCTCATACCACATCGCATGTGGTAGTGGTAACCACCTTCTCATGCCACACCGCATGTGGTAGTGGTAACCACCTTCTCATGCCACACCGCATGTGGTAGTGGCAACCACCTTCTCATACCACACCGCATGTGGTAGTGGTAACCACCTTCTCATACCACACCGCATGTGGTAGTTGTAACCACCTTCTCATACCACACCGCATGTGGTAGTGGTAACCACCTTCTCATGCCACACCGCATGTGGTAGTGGTAACCACCTTCTCATACCACACCGCATGTGGTAGTGGTAACCACCTTCTCATACCACACTGCATGTGGTAGTGGTAACCACCTTCTCATACCACACCGCATGTGGTAGTGGTAACCACCTTCTCATGCCACACCGCATGTGGTAGTGGTAACCACCTTCTCATACCACACCGCATGTGGTAGTGGTAACCACCTTCTCATGCCACACCGCATGTGGTAGTGGTAACCACCTTCTCATACCACACCGCATGTGGTAGTGGTAACCACCTTCTCATACCACACCGCATGTGGTAGTGGTAACCACCTTCTCATACCACACCGCATGTGGTAGTGGTAAGTAACCACCTTCTCATACCACACCGCATGTGGTAGTGGTAACCGCCTTCTCAAGCCTGCCAAGAAATGTAGCAACGTGCCTCTAGCGATCGCCATGGCACTCAATGCCACCCCCTTCTCCCACCACACCTGTCTGTACCCCTCCGGACCTGTCAGTACCCCCACCCACCTGCACCTGTCGGCAATCCACGCACCTGTTGCCGGTACCCGCCGCCGTATCGCTGCTGCTCGCGGTCGCGTGCGGCGCGCTGCTGCGGCTGGTTGGAGTATTTCCGTGCGCGCTTCTCCTGCTCCTGCCTCAGCGTCTCCTTGGTGCGAATCTGCTGCTGTATGCTCTGTAAGGTTGGGAAGGAAGGCGGGAAGGAGGGGGGGAAAGAAGAGTTTGTTGCTCCAGTTCCTGCCTTGGAATATGAACTCTCTTTCTCACACAAGCATGTGCACTGCCACTGACTGACTGTCTGATTGACTGACTGACTGACTGACTGACTGACTGACTGACTGACTGACTGACTGACTGACTGACTGACTGACTGACTGACTGACTGACTGACTGACTGACTGACTGACTGACTGACTGACTGACTGACCGACCAACCGACAGACTGACTGACTAACCGACTGACTGACCGACCAGCCGATTGACTGACCAATCAACCGACTGACCGACCGACCAACCGACTGACTGACCGACCAACCGACTGACTGACTGACCAACCGACTGACCGACCGACCAACCGACTGACTGACCGACCAACCGACTGACCGACCGACCAACCGACTGACTGACCGACCAACTGACGGACTGACAAGCCACCAAACCGCGCTCACCCGCTCGCGCTCCTCCTTCTCCTTCTCGGGGTCGCCCGTGGTGACGATGCTCTTCAGCTCCTTGCCCTTGCGGTACTTTGAGTCCAGCCCCAGCGTGAGCTTCTTGTGGATCAGACTGTGCGTGTCAAACGGCCGGAACCGCATCTTCTCCACCAGCTGCCCCTGCCCCTGCACCACCCCTTGCTGCTCACGGGGGTCGAAGGGACAGGAGGCACGGAGAAGGGGAGGGAAAGAGAGGGGGAGGGAGGGAGGAAGAGCGGGATGGGGAGTGGGGAAGTGAGAGAGGGAGCGAAGGTTGGAGTGTGAGAAAAGGGCGTGAGCTTCTTGTGGATCAGACTGTGCGTGTCAAATGGGCGGAACCGCATCTTCTCCACCAGCTGCCCCTGCCCCTGCACCACCCCTTGCTGGGAGTGGGTGGGCGAGCGGGAGACAGGGAATAGAGGGGGAACGGAGAGAGGGAGGAAAAGGAGGAGGGGGAGGGAGTGAAAAAAAGAGACGTGGAGAGGGAGAGTGGGAACGAGGGAGGGGGTGTGAAAGAATCTTCTCGTGGATGAGGCTGTGCGCGCCGAAGGGGCGGAACTGCATTGTGTAAGGAGATGACTTTTGAGACGTCTCAAAAGGCTGTGCGTGTCCAACGGGCGGAACCGCATTGTCTCCAGCAGCTGCCCCCGGCCCCTGCCCCACCCCTTGCTGGCAGCAGAATGTAAGGAGCGATGGAGAAAGATGATAACTGTAGCAATGGAGAATGATGTACAGGCAGAAGGAACACAGACAGCTGCATGATCGCTGTGAATGTCACCTCATCTCGCTTCTGGGCCTGCCCCTGCCTGCTGCAATAACTCACTGTCTATCCAAGCGAAGTCTGCACCGTGTGTGAGAACCATCAATTTCCCACAAGCGTTTTCCGTACGCAAACACACACATTCCACCTACTCCGGTGGCTTAACCAAGTGATTGCTGCCACGTATTGAACAATGGCCTCCAAATGGGGCTTGATTGGACCCTGCCTGCTGCAATAACTCATTGCCTATCCAAGCGAAGTCTGCACCGTGTGTGAGAACTTTGGGTTGGGGTGGCAGCAGCACCTGGGGTTGCTTGGGCTACTAACAGTACCTTGGGGTGGCGCACGAAGAGGTGTGCCTTATCGTGCTGCATGCTCTTGATGTCTGTGGCCAGCACCTCAGCACCCAGCAGCAGATGCAGAGATCCGTCCGACCACCGCACCATGCGCGCATTGCTCTCCACCTGGGGCCGTGGGATGAAAGGTGGAAGGTGAACGGTGAGAGACAAAAGACAGCACCCTTATATTTCAATCCACCACCGCACATAACCACATCACCACGCAGTGGCAGATTAGCAGAGTTTGCATGTGCGCATCCACAGCGTGCCACTGAAGCCACACATCAGCAGCCCACATGGCATTGCATGGCACGGCAGGCAGAGCACGACAAGGCATTGCATGGCTTGGCATAGCATGCAGCAAGCGCTCTGCACTCACCCCCATCCCACACCCATCCCCATGGTGCCATCAGAGCATGGCATGGCATGGCATGATGGTATGGCATGCAGCAAGCGCCCTGCACTCATCCCCATGCGACACTCACCCCCATGCGACACTCACCCCCATGGTGCCATCGGGACAACAGGGCATGAAGGACACTCACATGTAGGACGGACGGGATGACATGTGGCAGGCTGCACTCATCCCCATGCCGCACTCCCTCACTCAACCCCATGCCTCACTCACCCCCATGCCCCACTCACCCCCATGCCCCACTCACCCCCATGCCCCACTCAACCCCATGCCCCACTCACCCCCATGCCCCACTCAACCCCATGCCCCACTCACCCCCATGCCCCACTCAACCCCATGCCCCACTCACCCCCATGCCCCACTCAACCCCATGCCCCACTCACCCCCATGCCCCACTCACCCCCATGCCCCACTCACCCCCATGCCCCACTCACCCCCATGCCCCACTCACCCCCATGCCCCACTCACCCCCATGCCCCACTCACCCCCATGCCCCACTCACCCCCATGCCCCACTCACCCCCATGCCCCACTCACCCCCATGCCCCACTCACCCCCATGCCCCACTCACCCCCATGCCCCACTCATCCCATGGTGCCATCGGGGCGGCGCACGTGGCGCCATGCATGGCAGGCACGGCACGGCATGGCACGGTTGGTCAAGGCATAGCATGGCATGCCCCACTCACCCCATGCTGAACTCACTCACCCCCATGGTGCCATCGGGGCGGCGCACGTGGCGCCAGCGAATGAGGTTCTGCGGGCCGCCCTCCTCGTACGTGTCGGGGTCGAATGGGGCTGCCTGGATGCCCACTATGTTGCTCGCCATCACCATCACCATCTGGCAGGGAGTGGACAGGGGTGAGGAGTGGTAGAGAGGGTCAAAGGGCGCCAGCGAATGAGGTTCTGCGGGCCGCCCTCCTCGTAGGTGTCTGGGTCAAAGGGGGCGGCCTGGATGCCCACTATGTTGCTCGCCATCACCATCACCATCTGGCGAGGAGAAGAGAGGGGTGGGGAGGGGTAGAGAGGGGCAGAGAGAGGCAGAAAGGTCAAATGAGGTGCTGAGGGCCTGCTTCCTCATAGGTGTCGGGGTCAAAGGGGGCTGCCTGGATGCCCACTATGTTGCTCGCCATCACCATCACCATCTGGCGCACAGGACGGACCAGAGGGATAGAGAGGGGTGGAGAGGGGCAGAAAGGGGCAATGAGGGTCAAAGGGGGCTGCCTGGATGCCCACTATGTTGCTCGCCATCACCATCACCATCTGCCGTACAGGAAGGGGGAAAGAGGGGTGGAGAGGGGTAGAGAGGGGCATAAAGGGGCCACGAGGGTCATAGCGCGCCCTCCTCGTATGTGTCGGGGTCAAAGGGGGCTGCCTGGATGCCCACTATGTTGCTCGCCATCACCATCACCATCTGGCGAGGAGTGGAAAGGGGCGGAGAGGGATGGGGAGGGGTGGGGAGGGGCAATGAGGGTGGAAGGACGCTGGCTGGATGCCCACTATGTTGCTCGTCGCCACCATCACAAATGGCCGGCAGTGGAGAGAGGCAGTGAGGGGCGGGGAGAGGCGGAGAGGGGCAGAAACGTGCAATCGACTCAAAAGTCAAACGTGCAATGAGGGCCGAACCGAGAGGCGCCGCCTGGACGCCCGTGATGTTGCTTGCCGTCGCCATCACCATCACCATCTAGCGAGGGAGGGGAGGGGCGGTAGGGGCGGAGAGGGGCAGAGAGGAGCAGAGAGGGGCAATGAAAGGTCCAGAGAGGTCAAAGGCGCAGCCTGGATCCCAGGATGTTGCAACTGGTCTTGCAAGACCGCCTGGATCCCAGGATGTTGCAATGCATCACCATCCGGCAAACAGGCAGATTCGGATGGATAGAGAGGAAGAAAGAGGGATAGAAAGGAGCAGATGAATGGAGAGAGATGACTTTTGAGTCGACTCAAAAGTCACCTAGATTCAGATGGATGGAGAGGAAGAGAGAGGGATAGAAAAGAGCAGATGAATGGAGAGAGGCGGAGAGTAGGAGAGAGGAGAGGAGAGAAACGAAGACGCACACACACATACAACTAGGACGGATGCATGACTGACCTTGTGCAGCGCAACCCACCTTGTGCAGCGCAACCCACCTTGTGCAGCGCAACCCACCTTGTGCAGCGCAGCCCACCTTGTGCAGCGCAACCCACCTTGTCGAGTGGAGCCAGGACGTTATAAGGGAGAGAGGTGGAGGTCCAAGGGAGGCCCTTGGGTGGCGACGGGGATGAACCCATGGACCACTGCACACATGGCCCTACCCATACGCACACATGGCCCTACCCATACACACACATGGCCCTACCCATACACACACATGGCCCTACCCATACACACACATGGCCCTACCTATACACACACATGGCCCTACCCATCCACTCTCATGGCCCTACCCATACACACACATGGCCCTACCCATACACACACATGCACCTACCCATACACACACATGGCCCTACCCATACACACACATGGCCCTACCCATACACACACATGCCCCTACCCATACACACACATGGCCAGGCAAAACGAATGCACCGCGCACCTTGTGAGACACAACCAGCAACCCACCTTGTCAGGTGGAGCAGGGGGGTCAAAGAGAGAGCGGTCGAGGTCCAAGGGCGGCCCCTTGGGTCGCTCACCTTGTGAGGCGCTATCCGCAACCCACCTTATCGGGCGGAGCAGGGGGGTCAAAGAGAGAGAGGTCGAGGTCCAAGGGAGGCCCCTTGGGTCGCTCCCTCGGCCTCCGCCGCTCCCCCCCCTCCTCATCCCACCGCCCCTCCTCGTCATATCCGCCCCTCTCGTGCCTCGGCTCCTCCTCCGACTCATACCCATGCCGCTGCTGAGAGGGACGAGGGGAGGAGCGCAGGGGGAAGAGAGAGGGAGTGGGGTGGGCAGCAGGAGAGGAGAAGGCAAGTGTGAGCGACGATGGGACTCGTGCCTCTGCTCCTCCTCCTCTGACTCATACCCATGCCGCTGCTGAGAGGGACGAGGGGAGGAGCGCAGGGGGAAGAGAAGGGGGACAGTGGGTGATGGCTTTTGAGACGTCTCAAAACTCGTCATAGCCGCCCGTCTCGTGCCTCGGCTCCTCCTCCGACTCATACCCATGCCGCTGCTGAGAGGGACGAGGGGAGGAAGGGGGAAGAGAGGGGGAGTGTGGTGGGTAGCAGGAGAGGAGAAGGCAAGTGTGAGTGACGATGCGACTCGTGCCACTGCTGATTGAGACGCTGGGAGGGGGGGGAAGGGGGAAGACAGGGGGGAAAGAGGGGGATAGCAGGAGAGGAGAAGTGAAGATGCAACAGTAACATGCACTGCGTGTGTGTGTGTGTGCTATGGTATGGTGTGAAAACTTAGAAGCCACAGCATAACCCCCTCGTCATAGCCGCCCCTCTCATGCCTCTGATCCTCCTCCGACTCATACCCATGCCGCTGCTGGTGTGAATGCGTACCACCCACACCATCGAATATTGAGGCGCCTACTCAGAGTTTCCATATCGAAAACGCCAGAGAAGCGCCTTACAGGGGACGCCAGGGGAGTGCCTTACAGGGGACGCCAGGGGAGTGCCTTGGGGCGAGCGGCTGGCCATCCTCTGCGTCCTGCCCGCATCCCCCTCCTCCTCATCACTGGACTCTCCAAACACGTGTCTCTCCGTCACCTGCTGCCGCACCTTGCGCCCATCCCCACCCCCAGCGAGGCAAGAGGAGGAGAAACTTACAGGGGACGCCAGGGGAGTGCCTTGGGGCGAGCGGCTCCCCTTCCTCTGCTTCCTGCCCGCATCCCCCTCCTCCTCCTCGCTGGACTCCCCAAACACGTCTCTCTCCGTCACCTGCTGCCGCCCCTTGCGCCCATCCCCACCTGCCTCCTCGCCCTCCCCCCCACTCCCCTCGCTGTCTCTGTGCTGCCCTGTGCCTGTCTCCCTTCAGCACAGCAGCACAGCCGCACGCGAGAATGGGAGGCGAGGGCAGGAGGGGGGGAGGGTGGGGCATGGCGAGGCGTGCCAGGGGATGGGATGGACCAGTCGCAAGGGATTGAGAGGAATTCAGAATGGTTGAGAGGGGATAAGATAAGCGGGGTTCAGCGGCATTGAGAGGCATTGAGAGAAGCATAAGCAGCGAACGCCTTGTAAAAAGCCCCCAAGGTGTTCAATTCAACGCCCTAGCCCTCAGCCCTGCAGCCCATCAGCACAGCCCTGCAGCCCATCAGCACAGCCCTGCAGCCCATCAGCACAGCCCTGCAGCCCATCAGCACAGCCCTGCAGCCCATCAGCACAGCCCTGCAGCCCATCAGCACAGCCCTGCAGCCCATCAGCACAGCCCTGCAGCCCATCAGCACAGCCCTGCAGCCCATCAGCACAGCCCTGCAGCCCATCAGCACAGCCCTGCAGCCCATCAGCACAGCCCTGCAGCCCATCAGCACAGCCCTGCAGCCCATCAGCACAGCCCTGCAGCCCATCAGCACAGCCCTGCAGCCCATCAGCACAGCCCTGCAGCCCATCAGCACAGCCCTGCAGCCCATCAGCACAGCCCTGCCCTGCATGCAGCATTCCCGGCGCTGGGCCGTGTGAGGTGATGGCGCGAGCAGCGCGTGTGAGGTGATGGCGCGAGCAGCGCGTGAGGGGTGATGGCGCGAGCAGCGCGTGAGAGGGGTCGAGAGGCGCGCAGGCAGGGGGAGGGGAAGGGCGGAGGGATGAGGAGGAGACACGCGGAAGGGATGAGGGAGGACGGGCAGTGGGCGGGGAGAAAAATGGTGGGGGGGAAGAGGCAGGGACGGGAAGGAGGGAGAGAGAAGCGGAGGGAAGAAGGAAGGGGGGAGACAGTAAGGGGAGCGGGGCATGAAGGAACGGGGGAGGAATTCAGAAGGGTTGAGAGGGGATAAGCGGTGAGGGAGGGCCATTACTTGGGGGTCAGCCAGGGTGAGCCACTACCTGGGAGAGCGAGGGGAGTGGCGATGCTTGGGAGACCGCGAGCGGCCCCTCTCCTCCTGCCTCTCCTCAAACTCCTCCTCATCCTCCTCCATGCCCCCTTGCCTCCCCCCAAACCCGCCTCTCCTCCGCCCACCGCCCTCATTTCCCGCCCCCCCTCTCTCCCCATCCTCATCATCATCGTCATCATCTATCACCTGTCGCCCCCCTCTCCGCCTCTGTGCCGCCTGGTTTCGCACCCGCTCCCCCTCTTCCTCGTCGCTCCCCTTCCTATTCCCCCCACGGCCTTCCCCCCCGCTTCCCCCGTTCATCTCTTCTCTCCGCCCCTCCGCCCTCTTCTCCGTCCTCTCCCCACTCTCCCCACCCTCTCGGCGATCGTCCCAGTCGTCACCCGAGCCGCTCCCTCGCCTGCCACGTGGCTGCGAATCGAATTTATGGCGGGAAGGATAGGAGAGTCGACAAGAGCTCATGTAAGGATTCTTGTTCTCCCACCGATAAACAAGAATCTACGGATAGACAAGAACGGAGCAATGAAGTCAAACAGGCGCTACAACTGAAGGCACGAGGCATAGGCTCGAGGCTCTAAGGACATCATCGGTCACTTCGAGGCGCCTCATAAGCTTCGAGGCTAGGCGGACATCGGTCACGGTGAACACGTGGTAGATGCCTGCCACGGATGCTAAAGATCGTGGCGACCACGTGGGAAGCTGGAGGTTTGGCCAAGGCATCACGTGGGAGCATCACGTGGCGTGCCGCAATTCATCGCACACCTCCTTCGCACTCGCATCGCTGCCCGAGCGACTCAAGCTGCGACGTGGGCGATCGTCGCCAGAGCGCGCAGGGCTGCCCTTTTCGTCGCCCGAGCCGTCCGAGTCGGCCCCGAAGAGCGACTCCATCACGTCGTCGCGCCGCTCCGCCATGATGGCTTTACGCGGCTGCTGCTGCTGGCCTACAGCACGTGGCTTTAAGCGGCTGCTGCTGCTGTGCTACGGGGACGTGGCGAAATGAGATTGGCGTAGAGGACCAATGAGACGTGTCCAAAGAAGGTAGGTGCAGAAGACGATGCCGCAAGAGCCGGAAGGGTACTAGCAGTGCCGCCGTCCGTTCCGCCTGAATGAAATCTTACGATTCCACAGCGTGGAAAGGGGAAATCAAAGCAGGTTTGCAGGTGAAGCAATGCACGAACACCGAATGTGCTTGAAGCGAACCTAAGGGCGGGTCCAGCGCGTACGATTACAGTTCATATCAATTGTAACATGGGAAGAACTTTGTACTGGACACGGCTTTGTATTCCTACACTACCCTCGTTGAATCTTGTTTGGTTTCGCCACATTACATCTCGCCGCTCGCGAGCCAATCATTACGGTTGTAACCAGTGAGTGGGTGTGCGGAGTGGGAACATCGACAAACTTTGAAAATGTCGAGAGCTGAACTGTCAGATGTATTGGAGCTTTGAGATCTCAACTCAACATTCCCCAGTGCTCCACTTCAGCTCACAGAGATGCGCTGACATCCCTTCACGTGATGGTTTCTAGGCTGCAAAACTACTACGTACTAATCAAAACCGGAGTCTCAATTACCGCAAAACTGCCTGAACCTTCCTACTCTTGGTTGGGTTGGACCGAGTAGAGAAAGACTACACTACAAAGTCTCGTACTCAGTCATGAATGTTGTCGTCGGCAGTGCAAGTATAAAATTAGAACGGTGCTGAGCGGTGGCGAGCAGCGCACGATGAACAGTTCGTGTCGCGTCAACAGTTCGCGCATGGTTTACAAGGTTCGAGTTACAGCACCAGCTGAATTGGTGCACCGTGAATCCGACGATCGGATCAAGTATGTCTGACTAGTACGGAAACCCGGTATGAGCTAATCCGTCTGTTTTACAATAATTTGTTTCTGACATTTTAAAAGTGTCGCTCAGTCCAATCTGTGAAACTCCTGCTTCCCATACGAGATGCGTCAGCAGCAGGGGGGGAACGGTGTGAGGAAGGAGAGAGAAGTCTGTCTTTTCAAATGAGACGAATCCGCTCCATCTTAGGGTTCTTGGCGAGGTGGTGAATCTATCCCGTGAGTTAAGTGTAGCAAGCAAAGCTTGAAACACCGGGCACGACCGTCGAAATGCCTTCTGTGAGGAGTGTACAGGGGGGGGAATCAGGTGGCGATGAAGCGGGTGGGAAGTCCCCATTGGATGTCCCTCCTGCCGCATCTGCCGCTGCGAGTGTGCCTCGGTCCGCATCTGCCGCTGCGAGTGTGCCTCCGTCCGCATCTGCCGCTGTGAGTGTGCCTCCGTCCGCGACCCGGGTTGTGGAGGAAAGCACGCTAAGCCAGGACGAGGAGGAGTGGGATTGGATACACCTATTCAAGATGACGGAGCAGTGGCTTCGCCACGAAAGCGAGGGCGAACGAGGGACGGCAGTGCGACGACAAAGGGGCGGCAGGAGAGCAGCGACTCACGCAGCATCGGAGCAGCGGGCTGCTGTCGCGGGCAGACATGGTGTGAGAGGACAGCTGCTGTCGCGGACAGGTGCTGTCGCCTCGCAGAATTCCGTTCCGACCTTCGGGACCAGCTGCCCAGCTCCATCCCCCTTGCTCCCCAGGACCAACCATCCAGCACCATTGTTGCATACTCTGCACGGTTACCCATGAAGGTTCTAGAGCCTCTCGAGGGTTGGCCTTTGAGTCGACTTGAGTCACCCCATCCCCCTTGCGCCCCAGGATCAGGCATCCAGCGCCATTGTTGAGTACTCAGCACGAGCACCCATGAAGGCTTTGGAGCCTCTCGAGGGTTGGCCGCCCTAGTGGTTGTTCGGCTTTAAGTGTGCGGTGGCGCCGATTCGCTGTGCCGAGGCGATGATTCTCGAGTGGATGGCTGAGCCTCGCGTGGGCGTGCTCATGGACCTGGGGAGGATCAGATCCCGCCTGCCTGCCATACTGGCCGGTGCAGACGCTGCTACAGCCGCACCTGCACCTGCTCCTGCTGCTGCTACAGCTGCTGCCTCTGCTGTTGCGAGTGGAACGTGGGCGAGTCGGTGGGTTGCCTACCGGCGTGCGGTCAGCTTCGCTGTGTTGTATCAAGGTTCCCGCGCGTTGTGAACCTGAAGAAGGCGTCTATGTCTCGAGAAACCTCGGCTTATTCGGAAATTGTGGCGGAGATGGGGGCGGGAAGGCAGGCTAAGAACGACTGCTTTGCGTCTGTGCTGGTGCAGGTGCTGGGGGTGAAGGAGAGTGCTGATCTGCAGGAAGGGTTTGGGTTCTTTGTGCAGCATCTGCTGTCAGGCGGTCTGGAGGAGGCGCATTCCACGGGGAGGGGGGGAGCGGGGGGGAAGGGTCCTGAGAATGCGCAGGGGAAGGAGAAAGGGGGGATCGGGGGGAAAGCTGCCGAGGAGGCGCAGGAAGAGGAGGGACGGGTGGAGGGCGAGGTGATGGATAGGGGTGGGAGCATGGAAAAGGAGGAGGAGCTGGTGGGTGCTCTGGCAAGGTTGGATATCTCACAGGGTGATTCTGGTGGGGGGAGAGGCGGAGGGAAACCGAAGCATAGCAGCGCGGCGAGCAGAGGGGAAGAGAGGCGCAGCAGCGAGGCGGCTAATGGGGCTGCTGGGGGGCGTGGTAGAGGGGGGAAGAATGGGCAGTGGAGGGAGAATCTGAAGGGGCGTGAGTGGGAGAGGTATGTGGATGGCATGGCTTGGATTCTGGAGCATGGAGGGGGGGAAGTGAGGGAGTTTCGATGCAGCCACTGCAGTGAGAGGGGCAGTAGCAATGGTGGTGACATGCAGGGGAATGGTATTCCCAAGGGCATGTATGTGAGTGGGGTGGGCGCCACGGAATTCGCCCTTGCGTTTGCCACAGAGCTGTCTAAATCAGAGAGCTGTGGTGAGGCGTGTATGTACATATTCGATGGGAGCAATGCCAACAAGGCGAGGGTGGAAGAGGCTGCAGAAGCATCGGCAGTGGGGGATGCATCTGCTTCCAGTGCTGCTGCTTCAGCGACCACGTGGGGCAAGGGTCCAGCGCTGAGGCGTGTATGTACATATTCGATGGGAGCAATGCCAACAAGGCGAGGGTGGAAGAGGCTGCAATCGAGGAGGCTAGAAGGAGGCTGAGAAGAGGGGTTGGTGGAAAGGGCAGAGTATGGGGTTCAGGAGGAACACGAGGAGAGGATACAGCAGCAGACACGAGTGGGGCAGCAGCATGCATAAGTGGGGCAGCAGCTAACTCCAGTGGCAGTGGGGCAGCAGCTAACACCAGTGGCAGTGGGGCAGCAGCTAACACCAGTGGCAGTGGGGCAGCAGCTAACACCAGTGGCAGTGGGGCAGCAGCTAACACCAGTGGCAGTGGGGCAGCAGCTAACACCAGTGGCAGTGGGGCAGCAGCTAACACCAGTGGCAGTGGGGCAGCAGCTAACACCAGTGGCAGTGGGGCAGCAGCTAACACCAGTGGCAGTGGGGCAGCAGCTAACACCAGTGGCAGTGGGGCAGCAGCTAACACCAGTGGCAGTGGGGCAGCAGCTAACACGACTGGGGGAGCAGCAGACATGAGCAGGGCAGCAGAAGCATCGGCAGTGGGGGATGCATCTGCTGCCAGTGCTGCTGCTTCAGCTGAAACCCGGCCCTCTACACGAGTACATGGCACTTGCGCCAGCTACAGTGCTGCTCTCGTGCCTGTAAACACAAGTTCTGTCCTCGCAGCCTTCACATACCGAGTTGCCCGCATCTTAGAGTGGGTTCGATTCTACGGCTCAGATGTTGTCTTCGTAAGAAGATGCTTCAGGAGTAAGCCACAGAACAGGGTCCTGCAAATGCCCCATCCGTTTCGAGGCCTCCCGAGCCTGCTGCTCAGGTTCGGCGCCATCCCCTAGCCTCTGGATGACGCTAATTTCCCTATGGGGTGGAAGGAATGGCCACAGGGCGATGAAGCTGCTGTGAAGCTTCCCGATGATCGTGAAGCGAGATTCTTTCAGCTGGGTATTGTGGAGGAGAGTGCGACCGGAGTGGGGAGCAAGCAGGGGTGCGACAGGGTAACAGAGCAGACAACAAAGTCTGGGAGGAAGGACATGAGAGTGACTTTTGAGTCGACTCAAAAGTCACAGGGGTGCGACATGGTAACAGAGCAAACATCAAAGTCTGGGAGGAAGCACGTGAGAGGGAAGGGGCGACGAGCCAAGGCATCTGGCCAAGGAAGCGACGTCAGAGGCGGTGACACAAACAGAGGGTTTGGCGAAGACCAAAGGGGGACATTCTCAAACCCATCCGGCTTGGCTGCTGTCGCGCAGTTGCCTCCGGGATGGCAGCTTCCCATCGTCCGGTGCGTGGCGGATGCAGAGTTTCTAGTGGAAGCGGTGAGCCTGGTGGTGAGTCCACCGGCATGCACCTTTTGAGTCGATTCAAAATTCACCTTCTTCCCATCGTCCGCTGCGTGGCGGATGCAGAGTTTCTAGTGGAAGCGGTGAGCCTCGTTGTGAGTCCACCGGCATGTGCCTTCTGCATCCATTGCTACCGCAGCTACACGTGCACCATCCCATCCATCGCCCTCATTGCCAAGTTCGCCTACCGCCCCCTCCACGTCCTCTTCAACCGCTTTCTATCGGTCTTCCCGCCACACCCCGCTGGGTTTGACACGCTTGTGGAGTTGTTGTCGCCGATTCCCTCCTGCCCGCCTGCCCGTGTCGACCTGGCGAGGATGCGTGGTGAGATAGCGGAGCAGCGCGTTGCATTCCTGCTGCTCGTGGGCCTCATGTGGCCCGCTTCCCTTCTTGATATGTAGCAGTTCGAGGGCAAACGGCTGCTGGAGGGGGACGGGATTCGAGTGCAGAAGGGGAGGAAGAGGGGGAGGAAGAAAGGGAGAGCTAGGGGAGGGGTGGGAAAAGGAGGGGAGGCGGCGGAGGGGGAGGAAGAGGAGGATGATGATGGAGAGGTGTGGGAGGAGTTGCAGTCGTGGTGCTTCGCGGCGATGGTTGCCTGGCCGTCCAGCATGCGTGTCACGTTGAGCGATCCCGGAATCGAATCGGCAAGTACAGGTGTGAATGATGTGTGCACGGCCAGTGAGGGGCGGCAGAAGAAGGCAGACGTGAAGACGAGGGTTGCTAAGATGTTCAAGACAGGTGCGGTGAAGAGGTTCAGAGAAAGGGTGCAAGGCCGGGGTGGTGCTGCGGAGAGCAGCAGCAGTAGCAGCGGTGGCAGTGATGTGGTAACGGGGAGCGGCACTGCTGGTGCTGGCAGCGTCAGCGGCCGTAGCAGTGGCAGAGGAGTGTGTGATGGTGGTGGCGATAGGGATGGTGGTGGTGGTGTTGCTGGTACTGGTTGTGATGGTGATGCTGGTGGTGTTGATACTGTTGGTGATGGTAATGGTACTGGTACTGGTGGTATTGGTGCTGGTGCTAGTGCTGGTGCTACTGCTGCAGCTGGTGATGGTGCTGGTGCTGGTGCTGGTGTTGATGTTGGCAAGTGCATGGGGGGAAAGGGCAAGCGGGCGGAGGTGCCGGGCTATTTGAAGGAATGGCTGGGGGGAGTCAATCTGGTGGCATGTCTGCGAGAGATGCTGCTGGGGGAGCCATGCTACCGCCCTCTCTCCCCTGCTGCCCCTTCCCTCCCTCCTCCTGCTGCTGCAGCGCCAAGCACAGCTGCTTCCGCCTCTACCACTCCTGCTGCAGCTGCTGCTGCTCCAACAACTGTTGTTGCTCCAATAGCTTCTGCCTCGTCTACCCACCCACCTGTGCACACTCTTGCTACCATGCCAATCTGTGATGCCTCGTCCACCCATGTCACCCCAACTACTAGCGCTGCGGTAGGCCCTGCAGGTGCAGGTGCACCCGTTGCAGATGCAGAGGCCTGTGGTTCCGGTGTTTGCAGGGAGATTGGGTGCGGTGCTGCGGGGTGTGGGAGGGTGGAGGGTGGCGGTGTGAAGCTAAGGAGCTGCGGTGGGTGTGGCAAGGTTGCGTATTGCAGCAGAGAGTGCCAAAAGGCGCACTGGCCCTCCCACAAGCTCACATGCCCCGGCAGGTCTGGTGGCAAGAAGAGAGGGGAAGATGGCAGGAGGGATGGTGGCAGGAGCAGCAGCAGCGATGGTGGCAGCAACAATGGTAAGGTGAGTGGCAAGGTGGGTGTAAGGTGGGTATACGGTGAGTGGTAAGGTGAGTGTTAAGGTGGGTGTAGGGTGAGTGGTAAGGTGAGTGGTAAGGTGAGTGGTAAGGTGGGTGTAGGGTGAGTGGTAAGGTGAGTGGTAAGGTGAGTGGTAAGGTGAGTGTAAGGTGAGTGGTAAGGTGAGTGGTAAGGTGAGTGGTAAGGTGAGTGGTAAGGTGAGTGGTAAGGTGAGCGGTAAGGTGAGTGGTAAGGTGAGCGGTAAGGTGAGTGGTAAGGTGAGTGGTAAGGTGAGTGGTAAGGTGAGTGGTAAGGCGAGTGGCGAGGTGAGTGGGAAGGTGAGTGGCAAGGCGAGTGGCAAGGTGATGAACCTTGCCAATCTCCTTGGAAGTGTAAGGGTTTATGGGAAGGTGAGTGGGATGGCGAGAGGGAAGGTGAGTGGGAAGGTGAGTGGGAAGGTGGTGAACCTTACCAATCTCCTTGGAAGTGTAAGGGTGTAAGAAGGAACATGTACTGGAACTTGCACAGGGGTACAGTTGGGTTCTGAAACATCCTTTTTGTGGGAAGTATGGCTGCATGAATCCTCGTTTCTGTGTCCTGTTTCTCATTTGACTTGTGTAGCAAGTGCTGGAGTTGCTATATGCTATTATGGCTCATGTTGTTTTGTACAGGTTCATGGGATTTGTTTATACCCTCCTCTCCCTGCCGCTCTTTCCCTTTCCATTCATGTTCCCCACCCACTTCAGCCTCATCTCAACCAGTTTTCCCTACTCACAAACTCACCCTTGAAACATGTCTTGCAAGTCCCAATTCCTTGGTTTGCGCAGGGCTAAGCTGACATGACACACCCAGTTTGACCTTCATGCCGATACTTCACTTTCTACTCCTCATTTTTAAGTTATTTGCCTGCCCTGTTACTCTGAGTGTACAAGTTGGAGACTACCATTTAGCCTAACCCTAACTGAGCCTTCTCTGGCCCTATCTGTTTTAAATATACAGACTACGGTACATTGACGCGTTGACCACATAAAAACTCCACATCCATAATCTGATGTGCAAATGTCAAGTTGTGCAAGATGGCTTGTAAGGGGGGTCCTTCCTCACGCTTTGACAGCGTTCCATCCACTCCCTGCATAGAAGATCTGTGGAGCTCTTACCGGATGGTCCTATATATGGGAAGATAAGGTAACACACAAATTGATGTTTTCTCGAAGGAAGCAATTTTTAGGCCTTGAATGAAACATACAATATCGTTCCAAATCGTCCAATACAATGTACCAAGTCAGAAGCCTAACTCTGCTTGTGACATATTCAAAAGAGCCGGCAACGCCGATGGCATGAATTTCCGTGCAAAAAGGAAGCAATGTCTATGTTCCGAGCCGAGTGCACAATACCCGTTGTCATAATCCTGCGAAGCAGAATACATTACAAAATGCCATTAGGAACATCACAACGAATACTAGTAAAAAAATGTTCAACAAGTTAAGAAAAGCATATGTACGAAACAACTTACCTTGACCGGTTTTCCTGTGCTTGGGTCCAGCACCTGCACAAGAATAATAGAGCGAGTGCCATCAGCCACCACCGGGAGAAAAAAATAAAACAAAAACAAAAACCAAAACAAATAAACCTTCAAATTCAAAAATAATGTTACCACTGGGAAGCACAGTGATGCTACCCCTGTTACGAAATTTCTATGTTAGAGCACTCAAAGAACGGCTCTTTTCCATTCCATGGCATCTGAACCTTTCACTACTCACATTCAACAGTCACTAAATGCATCTGTCCAGCCCTCACCACATGCACCTATCCATCCAGCCCTGGCCAGATGGCTTTGGTATGCCTTGTAAATGCAATGCCAGTCAAGTAAGAGAGACATGCACATTGCCCACATCACATGACGCAGCACGCGCACCTCAACGCCAATGTTGTCACTTGTCCGGTGCCCATCAGATGGCTCTCTTATGACTTGCGGACCACACCACAACACTCAACACGCACAAACAGTCAAGCGCACTCAAACCCCAGATGGATTTCTTATTACTTGCGGATGCGATGCCAGTAGGGGCACCACAGGACAGGAGCAGGCTACAGCCCACCTCGCAGCACCACACCACACCACACCACACCACACCACACCACACCACACCACACCACACCACACCACACCACACCACACCACACCACACCACCCATCAAACCTGAAGCAACCCTCACCAGATGACTCTTGTACGACTGGCGAATGCGATGCCAGTAGGGACGCCATGCGATGTATCGGTCCTCGCACTGCATGGGTGGATGGGATGAGGCAAACAGACAAAGATCAAAGGGTGGAGAGACCAGACCAGGCATGGAAACAGTAGGGGCGCCATGCGATGTACCGGTCCTCGCACTGCATGGGTGGATCAGGCAGCGGGATAAGACAACTCAGGCAGAGGGATAAGACAACTCAAAGCTCATTTTAGCTTGTTGGCTCAATGGATTACTCGATTTGCATAATACAAGTACCTTGATTTGTCTTAGAAGAGAGAGGTGGTGTTCTCAACAAAAGACCCTCCCAAGAATCCTAAAAAACAACCAATGTACAGTTGGGAGTACCACTATAACGAGTACCTTCAGTTGCCTCAAAAGGAGGTGACTTTTGAGTCGACTCAAAAGTCGCTTCGGAGCACCACTATAACAGATACCTTGATTTGCCTCAGAAGGAGCGAGGTGGTGTTGTCCACAGAGTACGCCTTGGGATGCCACTTGCGCTCCGTCCAATCCACAAACGTCACCGTGTAGTTGGACACCCCTCCTGGATCCAGCTTCTGAAAGGGGAAGAGGGGGAGGAAGGGAGAAGGCAAAGAAGGAAAGGTAAGAAGGTGAAAGAGAGGGATGTGTCACCGGGTAGTTGGGCAGCCCTCCTGAATCCAACTTCTGCAGGAGAAGAGGAGGAAACAGGAGAGGGAAATAGGCGAAGGAAACGGGCGAGAAGGATGGAGGGAGGGAAAACGCAAGGTTGGAAAGAGACAGAAGGGTGTCATCGTGTAGTTGGTTGAACCACCCCTCCTGCCTGCTGCTGCAGAGACAGGAGGAGAAATGGAGACGAGGAAAAGGGCAGGGAGAAGAAAGAGGAAGAACAAAATGAGCGGATGTCACGATGTGAATGGAAATCTCTTATGAGAATTCCAACAAGTGACTCTATGTGACTCTATCCCTCCTGGGTCCACTTTGCCGGAGCTGTGTTGCAGAAGACGCACCTTTAGACACAAGACGCATGGGGTGTTTTTTTCGGGCTGACCGGAAAAAAAAAATCCCCGCGCGCGAATTTGACATTCGCCATTTCGACGCCAATGTCGAAATCGCAAAATCCCCCCCCCCCCCCCCCCCCCCCCCCAAACGAAATCGACCGTCAAAACCAGCCCAAAACCCAAAAACGGAAAGCCCCCCTACCAAAATTTACGCCACATCCTACTTAACCGCACAAGATCTACTCAACCCAACCACAATTGCATACAACCAAGAGTATATGGGAGCACAAATGCTTCATTTGTGCTCCTCCACTTTAGTTCAACCAAATTCTCCTTGGGAAACCCTAAGGGGTTTAGCTCTTAGTAGACCTAATTTACCTATTTTTGGCTGAAATGTGAACTATGTAAACCCCCCCCGCCCCCCATGCCCCATTGGGTTTTTTTTGGGCCTGCCTGTACTCTTTTTTTGTCTGCCCAGGCTTGCGTCTGTATCTGCGTCTAAGAAGGCCCAAAAATGCGTCTTGCGTCCTGGACGCAGCGTCTAGATGCACTGTGTCCAGGACGCAAGACGCGTCTTCTGCAACACAGTGCCGGAGAAGAAAACGGAAAGGGGAAGGGAAGGAAGACGGAAGGGTGATGGCAAAGCATACCTGACATATCACCTGAGCATACCTTAAATGAGATATCACCTGAGCATACCTTAATTGAGATATCACCTGAGCATAATTTAATGGAGATATTACCTGAGCATACCTCAACTAAGATACCACCTGAGCATACCTGAGATATCATCCTGCAACTCATATGAGAGGTGTCACCTCATCACGCATACCTGGAAGAGTGTTTGAAGGTAGTGCTCGTCTGAGTAGCAGTTCTTGAACTCCCGCTTTGGCTGCACACACACACACACACAGACAGAGGCAGGTGAGCACGAGCGAGCGTACTAATGAGAGAGCGAACTCATGAGAATTTCAAAGTGCGCACAGGCATACTAGAAGGGTTTCTCTCTAGGGCTTTATTTCTACACAGCGCAACAAATTTTTTTTTTTTGAAGTGAGTACTGCAACAGGAATGTATGATCGGACAGGCGGGAGGGAGGGAGGGAGGGAGGGAGCGAGGGAGGGAGGGAGGGAGGGAGCGAGGGAGGGAGGGAGGGAGGGAGCGAGGGAGGGAGGGAGGGAGGGAGCGAGGGAGGGAGGGAGGGAGGGAGCGAGGGAGGGAGGGAGGGAGGGAGCGAGGGAGGGAGGGAGGGAGGGAGCGAGGGAGGGAGGGAGGGAGGGAGCGAGGGAGGGAGGGAGGGAGGGATATGGGAGGTGTTTTTATATTGAATCGATGGCAACTCATACTAGAAATGGTGCGTTAAAACCTACTGTTAAAGCAGACAAGCATGGCAGCATGTGAATGAGGAGAGAGCTTCTTAGCAAACTCTTTAAATCTCCTCACACAGAAGCTTACTTTGCTGCAGTCCTTTTGCAATTCGAAGATCTGAGACATCCAAACTTGAGCTGAGAGGAGGCTTACTTTGCAGTGTTTTTGGAATTTGAAGTAGACTTTTCTGTCTGTGATGACCATCATTGCGTGCCTCCTTTGAAGCACAAACCACTAGAGTCACATCAAAGGCACCGAGGAAAACAAAACAACAATAAAAGTATTCCAGAGATAAACACACAAGATGGCGACACGAAAGCACACACGGACGCTTGCGATTGCAACAGCGATGAGATTGTCGAGAGCCTTATGTTCTTGAAACGCCACAAAAACTAGTAGCAAGAAGAGTGCAGGGGAGAAAGACTGCAAGCGAAAGTCCAGCAAATAATGCAACATTGAGACTTTAGTGACTACAGTGACTATAAGCTCAATAGAAGGGGTTGCTAAGCATGGTTCTCTATTGTCAATACATGAGATCCCTTTTAGCTGCAGCTATATCGTTTTAATCTCATGCCCATTCAAGTTAATATGTTTGCAATGTCTCAAAACAAATACACTTTGACATACCTCTGACATACCTACCACCTGAGATCCCTTCTTGAAAACTCTTTTCTTTATGCCGGGCCCCATCCCTCTTGAGACGTCTCAAACGTCACTACACATGTCACACATGCATCAATTGTTTGTTGCAACACCTTATAACGAGTACAACACCCACCTGAGATCCCTTCTTGAAGTCTTTCTTTTTTATCTCGGGCCCCATCGCTTCCATGTAGCGACCAAAGCCAATGTTCAGAGGGCAGTCAAACCTGATGGGGATTCCGATATGGGGATGGGGATGGGGATGGGGATGGGGATGGGGGGATGGCCCGGGATGGGGATGGGGACGAGGATACGGATGGGGATGGGGATGGGGGATGGGGATGGGGATGGAGATGGGGATGGGGATCGGGATGGGGATCGGGATGGGGATCGGGATGGGGATAAGAGTGAGTATGAAACCACACTCTTCAGATTCTCAGGCCCCATCCTTTCCATGTAGCGACCAAAGCCGATGTTGAGAGGGCAGTCGAACCTGATGGGAGAGAGATGGGAGGAAGGAGATGGGGCGATGGAGATGGGGGATAGAAATGAGGGAACGGAGATGGGAGGACGGGAATGGGGGGACGGGG